CTGGAGCGGCCAGACGCGCACTCAGGTGAACCACAACACCCCCTGGCCCACAACAAATACTTGATCAGGATTTTAACTAACAACAAAATAAACGGGACGGAAGGAGGAGTACGACTGGGGAACCATGCACAGGTCCTGTATATACAGAGGGACGTAAGCACTTCTGTCTGCAGAGAACCGAGTGCCAGAGAACCGTCAGCGCATAACAGGCCACAAGGACCATGGTTTGCTGATCCTGGCATAGAAGAGGCTGATGGACCTTTAGATCCAGTAGATGACACATGCCCCACATTTGTCTGAGCTGACACCCTTTAAAGGCCAAGCAACCAGTCAGTCATCGACTAAGAGGCACTACCCATAAGACAATTCGACCGTCGTTGCTGACGATGTTCACCGTGTGCTTCATAGAGAGGTGAAGCAGGCACGGTGACTTGCGCGTGATCTAGTTTATAGTAAGTGTGGGCTTGCCTCACACGTACCACACTCTCTCTCCTCTTGTTCCACCCAGACCCAGTGTCAAGACAAAGCGAAGAAGATGGGAGACGTGGGAGGGCGCAGGTGGATGGCAAATCCAAGCCCGCACCTTCGCGCCAAAACCCACACCCCCTGGTCCACACAACAAATGACCAGGATTTTAATAACCCCAGCACCAAAACGGGCGAGAAGGACGAGGATGACTTCGAAGCCGTGCTCACGACCTGTTTACCCAGCGGGAGCAGAAACGCATCCACCGGCAGGGGACCAGGTGTCAGAGAACTGCCAGCACATACCAGGCTGCAAGGGCCATGGTTTGCTGATAATGGCATAGCAGGCGCTTACAGACGTTTCGGCCCAGAAGGGTGGAACATGGCGCTACATTAGCCTGGATATTCACCCTTCAGGGCTGAGTATCCAAACAATGGTCGACTGAGAGGCTTTCCCCAAAAGGCACACAATCATCACATGCATGAGTGTCCCAGATCACTTAAGAAGGAGCCGTGACAGCCTGGCTCTCAGCCCATCAGTCCGAACCTCCACACAAACACATACGACTGGGCAGACTGGGGCGGGGACTGAGTTGAGAAGTCGACCGTCAGCCTTCCAAGTCACGGCGCTTGGCGCACCGTGATAGACTCATATTCCGATCACACGTGCAGCAGAGGAGCAACATGGAGAAGGATCCGGGAAGCACACTTCCCACTTGCGTGGGAGGTGACAGATGGATGCTTGTAATGAGTGGTGGGGTTGTGAGGTGCGGGTGACCGATCAGGCTAAACTAGGTAAGGGTATTTGCGGGTGCATCCCCACACACACGGTAATTCTGTTGCCCTCCCGCCCCCGCTGGCTGCACGAATCACCGCATCGGCACCTTACAGATGGGGCTCCGTTTGCAGCCCCTCGGAAGGCCACAAACACTCAGCAAGCTACTGACCCAGTGGCTGGGAGCCCGGTCCCTTACTCCTCCTTTGCACGTTTTCTCTTCCCTTCTCCCCTGCCCTCCACTCTCTTTCTACTCTCCACTCTGCTCTACCGTCTTACCCCACGGTCGAAAGTGCTACGGCGAGGGCGGTATGCAATCACGTAGGCGGCCCAGGTCATTGGTCGTTCTCTCACAAAACCCCGTGACCAATATTGGAGAGCGGTATCCGTCTGGTACGACAAAGCAGCCCAATTTAATGACCGCTGCTTTACCCCTTGAGAGGGAGGGGGCTACACAAGTGCACTAAACAAAGCTGAGGCCGCGATATCGGCGCGGAGACTGATAAACATGCAATCGAAACCAAAGCACAAGACAAGACATTCTGTTTTCCTCCTCCCATTCTCTGCCCCACCCCACAGGTAGCTAGGGCGAATTCGTTCATTCCGGCAACCTGGAATGTTAGTTCACTTTTAGATAATCGAGGAGCAACCGACCGGAACGGAGGCCCGCCCTAGCCACTTGGGAAGTGATGTGCTACAAAGTGGACATGGCCAGCGAGACCCGTTTCTCCAAAGAAGGCCAACTGGAGGAAGTGGGTGTCGGCTACACCTTCTTCTGGAGATGTCGCCCCAAGACAGAAGGATAAGATGCGGGCATCGTCCTTGCCCTTCATAACGACATCGTATGAAAACTGCCCTGTCTCCCACAGGACAGCAATGATCGTCTGATGAGCCTCCATCTGCCTCTCCGGAGAGGCAAATTCGCCACCGTCGTCTGCGTCTACGCCTCCCCCCACCGAGGACCAGCTCCGAAACTGCAAGCAACAAATTCCTCGAGGACCTGCACGCTCTCCTGATGACTGTGCCGAAGGCGGATAAGTTGATTATCCTTGGTAACTTCAACGTCCGCGTCGGCACAAACCGTGCTGCCTGAAGATGAGTGCTGGGTTCCCCTGATCTCGGCGGCTCCAGTGACAATGGCTTGCTCCTCCTATGAACCTGTGCAGAACATCGTCTCATCCTGACCAACACCCTCGTTCGCCTTTCAATATGAGAGAAGGCCACCTGGATGCGACATCGGTCGCGACCCTGGCACCTGCAGGACTATGCCCTTGTTCGAAGGCGACACCAGAAGGACGTGCGGGTGACAAAGTAGATCCCGAGTGCCAACGGGTGGACCGACAATCCCCTCGCAGGAGACCTCAATGTAGGCAATCTACAGGTAAGTTGAATGTTGCTTTGTCTTTGCCTCCTCACCATCTCCATTTCAGTAGTGCGCTAAATCACTGACTAGCCGACCTTCCAGCCGCCGCCGCCGCCGCCGCCGACGACGACGACGACGAGAACGCCATTGTGGGGGACCGATGATACCAAATGAAGGACATGGTCCAGTCCACCGTCCTGGCTGTCCTAGGTCGCGCACGCCGACAACATCAGGATTGGTTCGATGAAAACGACGCTGCCATCAGAAATCTGCTCGCCGAGAAGAACCGTCTGTTCAGAGCCTACGTCTACTGCTCTACCGACGACAACAAAGCAGCCTTTTACCACAGTCGTCGCCTTGTGCAACTGCGACTGCGCGAAATGCAGGAGGCCTGGTTTGCAGGGCCGAGGAGATCAAAGGATACGCGGACTGCGACGAATGGAAGCATTTCTATGCTGCAATCAAGACTGTCTACTGTCCCACAGCCAAAGGCACCGTTCCTCATCTCAGCGCTGATAGAACGACTCTGCTAATAGAGAAGCTGCAACATTTTCAGCGATGGGCCGAACACTTCCGAGGCGTTCTCAGCCGTCTCTCCACCACCTCCGATGCTGCCATCGCTCGTCTATCTCAGGTGGAGACCAACACTGGTCTCGACCTCTCAAAGAAACCACCAGGGCTCTGCAGTGGCTATGCAGCCGGAAAGCGTTTGGATCAGACGCAATTGCTGCTGAGATCTACAGACATGGCGGCACCCTACTCATGAATCTTCTGACAATGTTATTGCAGGAGATGTAGCATGAAGGAGAAGCCCCGCAGGATTTCAAGTACACCACAATCTTCCATCTCTGTATGCCGAAAGGTAACCATAGCTCTGTGACAACCATCGAGGAATTTCCTTACTGAACATCGGCTGGAAAATCTTTGCTTGCATCCTCCTCAACCGTCTCAATAGCCATCTGGAACAAGGACTCCTGCCGGGTATGAATGCGTATGTGTCCTACTAGGCCCATGCGGTGGCCGAATATACGGAGACCTTGAGAGCAGTTGAGGCGGATGCGGCGAGTGTATGTTGGTTCTCCAGGCACTGATTCGTCAGCCCCTGTGCGATGGATTTGACAGTGACCGACCAGGCCAATGTGCGAGGTGAATGTACGGGGACAGTGTTGGTAGGATAAATCGGGAGCGTAAGAGTCGGTTTCAGTTGCGATGATGGTGGAGCTGCTGGTGGTTTACGCGCTGGGAGATGGGGTGTGGATAGGGCTAGGCATGGAAAGTGTGCAAGGTGTGCTAGTGCATCGATAGCGCTGTGAATTACGCTGTCGTGGATATGCGTGTGACTTAGAAGGCTCATGCCGTGAGTGAATGTGTGTAGGCAGTGTGCTGCTCACTGGAATGACGCCGGCTGGCAAACTTGTTGCAATAGCCCTTCTGTGCATTTATGTGCGTGTGTTGGTCTGCTGCTGTTGTCAGTCCCAGGGTGTTCACGTGTTGACGTTGATGCCAGCGCGCATGCGTGTACTACTCTGTGTGTCGAAACACGACAGTTTACCGTCCTCGCCACAGCTACACCCACGTTCGTGGAAGCATACACACACACACGCTGACTTCTCCAGCCGTTAGTTCGGCCTAAAACGGCGTCTTTCTTCCTCCCCCGCAAACCCGGACTTGACTGGTAGTGCTAGAAGTTCACCCGTTACGAAAGCCACCATGGGCTCCCTTTAAGACCCACACGCAACGGATGGGAAATGCCTGAAAACTTTTTAAAAATTACATGCGTGCATATCAGTCACCCGTGATTATCGAGAAGTTTGCAGAGAAAACAATACCAGGCAATCCCAAATTAAGCTGTTGATAAGAAGTATTTCCCGGCCCTCATGTGTGCACTGGATTTTAAAAGTAATACCTGCTCAGATTTTCGGGACTACTCGGGACGCATCTCTCTATGATGCTTTGTGTCTCATTGTAAAACCTCGAAAAATCGAACGATAATTCCCCCGCCACCACCTTCAAATGGTACATATGGCATCCTGTTATTATCATGGAAATAAATTTGGGTTCACTGTTATATCAAATGAGGAAATTCTTCAGTTTTGCCGAGAAATTTTGGTCACATAGGAAGCCTTTTGTGAGGAAGCGGTTATGTGCGATAACAACTAATTTAAAGTTTAAGTAGTGAATGCATGCCTGCCGAAACGATTTGAATTTTGCCCGACAAATACAACCTATCTAAGTGATAAGGGACTTCAAAATCAATTTTAATAAAGATTCCTATTTACCAGACGCTATATTACTGATAACAGGCAATGTCAGACACGGTGTTTGTCCGAATTTCGAAGTTACATAAATTAATTTTTGCTGTTTACTTGGATAAGTTTCAGTCGGATGAATTTACAGAAACTCGGTCAACACATTGAAGCCCTCGTATCGTTTACTTCCTAATTCCAGTTTTTTTCGGTTAAGTCTGGTCTGGATGTCAAAATATCATAGCAGAAGACGTAATTCGCCACAAGAGGATTGAGTATTTATCTGTAGTTAAAATGCATAACAACAGTAAATTCATGAATATTACAAAGGCAAAAAGTATTTTTAGATCAGTCTGTCCATCATCCAACTAAACACATCTATTCATTGTGTTGGTTGTGTTGATCCACAAAAATGGAGTTTTATTCGATGTAAATATTAAAGGCTGCATATTTTCTATCAAAAATCGCAAGTTATCCTCCTGGTTCCTTCGTGGAGCCAACAGTGTCGACGGGCTCCTGTCCAAGAATTTTTTTTAACTCTCCGTGAATATTCAACCAATCAGGTCGTCCTCCTCAACGACTTAATGGCTACCAAGCAGTACATAAAATAACAAACTTCCCTATACTGAATAACTTTAAGTGGACCTCCGCATTCTTGGCTTGGAAGTTACTTTCCTAAGAACGCAAAAATAAGCTGATTCCTTTTTTAACATGCCAAAAACCTGCACTAAAACGGCCAGGACAGCAGAAGAACCACTTAACTGCCCCTGCGGCG